GGTGCTAGCTTCTGTCGTCGGCGCCTGATAGATGCGCCAATAGTTGGAGAGTTAGAGGCTGTACGACGCGTCTGTGCAATTAATCCACGTCTTTAACACCAGAGAGATGTCTTATAATCTCGTTTACACTCGAATATCGATAACGAATACGCGTGTCGTTGCTAACAGAGTTGCGCAGACGCGAGACCCGTGTCTTCTACTTCCCAGAAGATTTTTAGCGAAATGAAAAGAAAGTTTTCAAACGTGTCCATTGGCGGCAATGGCGTTTAAATTCGATGCTTCTAATTCGATAACACCGATAATCTGATGGTTTTTCCTATCGCGAGTTATAATAAGACTCGATAATTTCCACCGGGATCGACCTCGAGTTAAATGCTTCCGGCAGCGGCGACGAGACTGATAGAAGGATCATAAACACGCGAAGCGTAGATCCTATCGCTCGCGGTAAGACTTTCGTGCAGGTGCAAACGCGTCCGCGTAGGCAGCGCTATGAATAAATCAGTTCGACTAAGTGCCTACAACGAGTACCTATCGATGTACGCATCTATATTCAAAGATATTAAATGAGTAAATTCCTGCAGATGTTCGTTGACAGGATGGGACGATCTCATGAGAGTGACACTTTTCGATAGAGTAAAAGCATGCGACATCATACACGTGGAAAGTTGAAAAATCGCGGCAGCAAATATATCCAAAAGAATCCAAAAGGATATTTCAAAACACGGTCGTGTAAATCAGCGCTTAAATTATTTTTCAATGCCGATAGCCTGTGTACTATCGTGAAATAGAGGATGTCTTCGTGTACTCGAGACTGCCGAGCACGAAGACCAAAAGCGTCAAAGACGGAGATACATTTCGTCTTTACGTTTGCTCAGAACCACGTGTGTGGTCCCGAGTGAGCACGTGTCGCTTATGTTCGCGCGGATGCAACTTTTTCTCGCGCGGGGACGCGCGCTGCTCGCTTTTTGGCGCGGAATCCCGAAATTCCAGAGCCACGGCTCTGCTGCCAA